TCTTAAACTCTAAAAGAAAAACCGGATTCATTGGATTCATTATATGTTTAAATTCTATGTTGAAATTATACTACACTCTAATAGATTCTTCTAAAATTGATTATTTAAAAATGCATAAATTAAGCCAAGACCATCTAGAGCTATTTTTTGGATGTATAAGAGCTCAAGGTGGGTATAATAATAATCCCACATCCAAACAATTTATGTCCGCGTATCGAAAATTGGTCATTAAAGTTAATGATATTGAAAGTTTTAACACAGGGAACTGTATACCTTTAGAACATATCGACCCAAGTAACAATGAAATGTTTTTTATACGTTAAATAAATATTAAAACATTTCAAAAATAATGTTTTTAAAAAATATATTTTTTTTATATTAAAAAAATGTTAGATTTATAATGTTTTTAATATAAGATGAAATAAATATGAAAAAAATATTTATTATTTCATATGTTTTTCTATACATTTTAAAATATTAAAATAATATAATTTAATAATATTTATTTTCTATCATTTTTATAACATTTAATTAATATATTAGATTCGGCTCAGATGATTTATTTATTATATATATAATATTATTGTTATTATATATCATATAATACACATAGAACAATAATTATAATTTATATTGTATATATATTATTGTATATCCACATCATATTGATATTATTGATACACAATATCCATAAATATTTCAAACATAAAAATATAATAATGTATATATAGCTAGCTAGGTAGCGATCGCTGTCCTAATGCATATCTGACCTAATACTACCCATTATAATATATTACTGGACCATTTTCACCTACCTACGTATATAAATAATTTCCTTAGACTCTGAAGGTTGTCATAATACTTTTTTCAGCCCCTATAGATATATATAATATATATAGGTTTGTTATTATAGGTTGGTTCATATATATATATATATTACATGCAATTAATTTATTAATTATAATTATTATTTAAATGGATGCACCATCATGGTCATAGGCGTGCGCAGAGTTTCAAGTCGGGGGCAGCAANTTTTTGGAAAATTATTTTTTACAAATTTTAAATTAAATGGTGTTACAACTTTCAAAATACTAGCTTGACTATTAATGGTTTGTAATTTTCCTAAGAAATTTTTTAATGTATTTGAATCATTCAGTGTTATAGGTAAATTTTGTATATAACTAGATTTTGGTTTCAATTTGGATTGTGTGGAAGCCATGTTCTTTGGATGATTAAAGTTTATTTCACTTATTTTACTAGGGATAGATTTGTCAAGAGATGGTGTTGCCCAATATGCATAGACATCTGTAACTGATTTTGTACTTTTTAAATTAAATGCATGCTGCAAATAAAAAAAGACTGCTCCTACGTGTGAACAACATTCACCTAATCCAGCCATGCATAAGCAATGGGCAGCTTCAACTTTGCCATTAATCTTGACTATAACCCATGGCAGCAATTTAGTGTCATTTAACCTTTGAGAATGCGCTACCTAAACGAAAATAATAATAATGTAGAGACAATAGGCTCATAATGAATAATGATTGTAATCTATCAGGGGCGCCGATGTATTTTGAAACACATAAGAACTAATAAGACAATTTTATTTTGAGTCAATACACTCCGGCACCTCTGTAATCTAGTATCTGTCGAATGTTGTAAGTATGTAAAGAGAAACAGATACCTTTGTATACTTTCTAAATTAATCTTTACAACACAGAAATATATTCTTATCCTTGACTTACTTCAGCAACTACAAGAACATAGCTATCTACCACAGTCCATTTGACATTTGAAACCCAACCACTAACAAAAAAATTATATGCATCTAGACTTTTGTACGCTTTAAATTCTTCCAATGTGTAAGCACTTTTAGTCAATACTAGGTAGTTACAAATATCAGGGTAAGTAATTGAAGGCACTAAGTTTAAATCTGTTGTCCAAATTACACAATTGTCTTTCAACAACAAGTATGGATCTTGAGAATTTAACAATAGTATTTTGTCTAAATATCGTTTCTGAACGTCCCCAGTTAAACTACGAGCATGGTTACTTAATTTAATAGACATAATTATAACGTTATAACCAAAAAACACAATTTTAAGTAAAACTTAACTAATAAAATTATGAGTAAATCAATAAAAGTTAATTAGAAACAATAGAAACCATATACAAATGGACCACCAATTAGTGATAATAACGTTATCATATTATAAACATAACCTAAAAGAAAATGATCAATATCACACGCGCGATGCCCGACTGTCGACGGTTGTTATCGGTTGTTATCGTTTTTAAAATAGAATACTTCATTGTGCATTTTTGTGCGCCTGTGCGGTCCACCACAGACGTATAAAAGCGTCTATTATGTTTTATTTATTAATCATGGTTAAGGTTAGTGCGTCTATTAAACATTTTAACCTAAAATGTCTAAAAGTCATTTCCGTATAAAGTGTCATTTGTCCAATTGTCTTCAGTGTCTTCACTCTTCACACTTCACAGTTAACTCTTCACTCTTCTGTGAATCTTGCAGAACTTTGCAACTTGCGGGTTAAGCTGTATTTCCGTAGTTGCATTTAAATTTTCATTTCGTATTATACGCTGTCGCTGTGACTCAAGTTTGTAAAAACTATAGTATAGTGCATAGTTTGCGTAATATACTCGCCGGGTAACAAAATACCTCGCGAGGAATCGAAGTACTATAACTTGAATACAGGTAAATATGCCTATTTTATACTTATTAGGTAATAGTATTATTATTTATTAAGATGATGCCACACTCACATGTGTTCTCTCCGTCTTACAAACGTACAACAAATCAAATTTTAGTATATTTGTAGTTTAGTTCCCACGTGATTTTTTGGAATTTTATTTCTAACATCAAAATTAATTTTTGAACCATCGTTCTTCACTAGTTAAGGTACATGTTTCAATCAAAATCGCGTAGGAGCTAAACTGCAATTGTTCCCAAATTTTAGTTCAGCAGAAACCATATTGTGTTATAAATTTGAATTTTTCTGTTAATTGACCTATTATTAAATGTAAAAGTAAGAAAATTATCTGTGTTTTTTCGTCGGTTTTTTCTTATATTTTAATATTTTTAAGTGAGAAATGAGAACTTAAATTTTTTAATATTTTACATATGTAAAATCACAGATAATATTCTCACATTTAAGTTTGATAATAAGTAAAATCACTCGAACATTAAAGCTTAAACTTTGAAATACCCTACTGAATGTAAATTTGGTATGTTGTATATTTGTAAGAGTTCTGTACACATTCAGGTTAATTTATTCATAATCTTATAGGTATACACCATTTAATTTTTTTTCTAACCAATACTAATGTTTTGTGTTTATTACTATCTATTAATTGTTAAATAATTGAGCATTGGGATGTATAGGTGCTTGTCATGTTTATAGGCTTTTAGGATTTTAAACTTTTGGCAAATGTATGTTTGAAATAAGGAACTGGTTGCTATTTCAGAAACAGCATATACTAGGTTTTGTAAAAGTATTTAGAAAATATTTTTCAAACTGCTAATTAGATTATTTTATTCTACCTATATAGGTTAATAACTGTAGGTTAAAAAATTATATTTTAATTAAACTCCTTGTTGAGCTCACATAGGTAGTCAATGTAGGTACTATTATTATAATATAATATTTAAAATACAAAATTAATTTTTAATTATAGGTATAGTAAAAACAAAATATGTCCTACTAAGCTAAAAAAAATATTAAATTATTCTTAAGTTTTTAATATATTTATTTTGTGCCTATAATATAGATTCATTTATATTAGGTAGGTATAGATAATCTACCTACCGAGGTAATTTATAATTTAATATTTTTCATTTATAGGTATATTTTTTTATAAATATTATTTTACGTTATAGATTTTCACAATAGGGATTATGGAATTTAATTGTCTAGTATTTGGTACTATTTCTTTTAAATAACTAGATTTTTATAGTTTTAGAAATAATGAAAAAATTCAATTTTAATAAAATAATATTTTTAATTCAATAAATAACCTTTAAAAACATTTTTAAATTAATTTGAATGGACAATCAAATATTATTATTTTTAATAGACACTGAATTTATAGTAGGTATATCTAATTTGTTAAAAATTGAATTTTTTAGTAGGTACCTCTGTTTATTTTTGACATTTAATGTCTTTCCTTTGGCACCTAGAATATAAATTGAAAAACATTACGTTACGTTACAAAAAAGCGTTATTTATGTTTGGTATACATGGCAACAAAGACATTAAATGTGGTACTTTATTGCAGTCTCGTATGCAATATGTTTTTAAATACTTCTTTGCAGCCAGTATCTATAATAATAATATAATAATGATATTTTTCTTTTAACTTTGATATCTATAATTTTACATTTAAAAGTAATTTCAAATATAGGCTACCTAACATGGCAAATATTTGCTCCATTTTTTAAATATAAGATTGTAATTTTTTTTTCAATATTCAATTATTGTGTCGGGCATTCTCTTGTTTTTAGGATGCCCAGACCTTTTTCTAAATTCCATCAACTATCAAACAGAAGTAAGAGAAGGCGTGTAGCCGAAAATAAGGATTGTTCTTTTATATCTGATAATTATAGTTCTTCAGATAGCAATAATTCTTCTAATAATGATAACAGTAAACAATTAAATACTTCAAATGAACAGGATCGAAAACAGGATGTTATAAATTCACTCACCCAGACATTTTCAAACTTTACTAACCAAAGTATAAACAATGATGAATATAAAAAAATATTATCAAGTACCTCATCATCTAGTGAACATTATAGAACTGATGAAGATGTTTTATTGGACTTTGATTCTAATAATTTATTTCATAGACAATCTATTGACCATTCGAAAAATGAAGAAAGCTCCATTAAAAATTTCTTGCGTGTTTGGGCTGTTAAGCATAATATTACTGCTAGTGCACTATCTGAATTGTTGGTTGGCTTAAAACAAAATGTTGAAAGTATAAGTCACAATTTACCTTCAGATTCAAAAACCTTATTAAAAACAAGTATAGTTTTTGAAAAAAAAACAGTTGAACAAGGACATTATATTCATTTTGGTTTGGAAAATCAATTAAAACGCTTGATCTCATCATTTGATTGCCATGTCCATGAATTACATTTATTAATAAATATTGACGGACTTCCTTTATATAAAAGTTCTCCAGGCCAAGCCATTCCTATATTGGTTTCAATTGTTAATGTCCCTGAACTTCAAAAAATAGTTTTTCCTATTGGACTATACTATGGTTTTCAAAAACCTAAGAATATAGATAATTTTTTAACTACATTTGTATTGGAAACCATAGAACTGTCAGAAAGAGGGTTTTTAACTGCTAATGGAACCAGTGTGTTCGTTAAAATTCTTGGTTTTGTTTGTGATGCCCCTGCTAAAAAAGATATATTAGGCATAAAAGGTCATGGTGGGTATTATTCTTGTACTAGGTGTACTGTTCGAGGTACTACTCTTAATCATAAGCGTGTATTTACTGATCTTAATTGTCATACTAGAACAAGTGATGACTTTATTAATTGGATAGATCCAAATTATCGATTAGTTAGTACAAGTTTGGTTAAAATACCGGGAATTGATTTTGTACATTCAATCATTCTTGACATAATGCATTTGGTATACTTAAGAGTGATGAGGACTATGCTCTTAACTTGGTATGATGGAGATTTACCTTTTAAACTATCACGGCTATTAATTCATAGGATCTCAGATTTTATGTGCAGTGCAAGGTTACCGGTAGAATTTGCAAGAAAATCAAGGGAGTTAAAGTATCTTTTAAGATGGAAAGCTGTAGAGTATCGGGCATTTTTACTCTATCTTGGTCCAGTTGCTTTAAAAGGCATTTTAGACCAGGAAAAATACAACAATTTTATGACACTAAATGTAGCTATATCAATTTTGTTAAATCAAACCAGTATTCAAGATCGTAGATTAAGAGATTATTCAAGAGAATTATTGAGACATTTTGTGCAGTCATTTATGAGTTTATATCACCCAAGCTTCATAACTCATAATTTTCATAATTTGATTCATCTAGTCGATGATGCAGACTATTTCGCACCAATAATTCCTATGCTAACATTGGATACCATATCAGCGTTTCCCTTTGAGAATTACCTTCAACAAATAAAAAGAATGACAAGAGGAAAAAATAAACCATTAGAGCAAATAGGAAATAGAATGGCCGAATTGTTAACAGTAAATTCAACACAGAATTTTCAGTCTTTTAAAAAATACCCTATTTGCTCAAAAATGCATTGCAATGGTCCTTTGGTTCTTGGATGTGTTAATCCACAGTACTCCACTCTACAGTTTAGAGATTTTAAAATCAAAATTTGTTCTCCTGATAATTGTTGTGGCTCAACTTCTGGTGATATTATTATGGTGGAAAATATTTGTTTTTCACAAGTCATGAACAGTTTTGTGATTGTTGGTAGAATGTTTCTAAGAAAAAAAAATTTCTATTCAATTCCATGTGAAAGTTAGTCTGTTGGAGTGTATGAAGTCGAAAAGTTATCAGAAATGCGTGTATGGCCAGTTTCTGAAATTGTTAAGAAATATGTATTTTTTTCTCACAAAAATGTATTTGTTGTATTTCCTTTATTACACTTGAATTAATAATTACTTTATCACCAATTTGTGTAATCTTATTTGAACCGGCCATATTACCTAATTATATTTTATATATTCATAATATATTTTATTTTATTTATTTTATTCATTTTATTTTATTTATTTAAATAGGCAATCCAAACGGCAATTTATAGATACATTGTAATAATTAGTAGATTAACAAAAAAATATAGTAATGAAGTAATATATATGGAAAACAGTAGTTATAATTATTTTAAATATATTTGAGCAAAATATATTAATAATAATAATAATACATTTATTTGTTTCCAGCCAAGTACCTAACTTAATTTAACTTTTTTGGTGATACGGGAGAAATAACTAACATAATATGTAAAACGTTATAATATTTTAATGATCAATGTTTAAGTGTGTGCAATAGATTTTCAGACTGTGTATCACAATTATTATGTATATTATTTATTGTTTTATGTTTAAAAAAAAAAATGGTTTATTGAAGGGTAGGTTTTGCTATAGTACAAAATTTGAATGTACATATACATTGAAGTCTAAGATTAATAACCTAAAGTAGTTATTATTTTGTATTGTATTTCACTACTAGATTAATATTTTATTAAAATGTATGTTTATAACTAATTTGTTATCAGAATGTGGTATTTAATATCATTGTACGACAATGAAGAGGATAAAGATGAAAAAAGCCCAGATTTAATTCCGAAGGATTGGATAATAAATAAATTTAATTGTTGGTATCCACTGGATTATAAAATATCAACAATTAAAAAATATGCAAAGACAATGGAAATCCCCGACTATGATAAATGGAAAACTTGTAAGATTGATATTATAGAAGAAGATATAGGTACATAATTTATTAATTTATATGCAATCTAGTATGAATACAATGCACATAAATTTAATATTTAAATTTATAGACAATTATGAATATGGTTTAAAACTTATGTACAAATTAAACAAGAATGCAAATCTTCATTCAGAAATCGAAGAAAGAGGTCGTGGACAAAGGTTAAAAATTAAACTAAAAAGATCATTAGAACAACATTACTCTTCAAATTCTGATGAGGATGATATACTTTTGAATGATAAACCAGCAGCATATCCTACATTTCCTAAAAAAAAAAAAAAGTAAATTGAACTGTCTATAGAAAAGTAACTTTATTTTGTATTTTTTTTTATTACGCTATGTCTAGTCTATTTTAGTTCTTGTAAACATGTTTCAATCATAGTGTTTTATTATACAGTTAATAATCTTAATAATAATAATAATAATATTCGTTTTTAAAACTAGATCTGTCACAATCATTTAATGAAAACAACAATTGTTTTAACAATACTTCTCCACCAAGTAATGATGGGTTTGACACATGTTTTGCCAATACATCATCATCAACTACTCCTTCATGCAGCAGTACTCCTTTAACAAGTGAAGTGTCAAAAAATTTGAAAAAATGTAAACTGGCCAAAAAAGTATTGCATTCCTGTACTTTTGACTTCAAAGATAATACTTTATTAGAAGCTATTAGTCATCAACTTTGTAAGCTATCAGGTAACTGCACCAGAAACTAATTTGAGTACTATTTTGCTTGATTATACTTATATATGATACACAATGTAGTATCTTAACTACTTACACAAAAATATGTTTTTTACAGCTGATATAATGAAAGTAAAGTCAAGTATAAATTATGTGAAACAAGATGTTTCATCCTTTATTGAAGATCAACCGGTGCCTAATCGTCAGCCAAATACAAATATAAATTCTGAAGAAAATCATTTATCGTGTTTCCCATTAAAAAGTGAGAGTGAACTATTAGCAATGGAAACATCATTACAAAAAGAAGAATTAAACTACACAAACAAATTGGTATGTTGTATTTTTTTTTATTATTATGGAATAATTGTATATAATAATATATACATTATTTATTTTACACAGGTGTCTACATTAATTTTTGCCTCTGAGGGAAAAAATATTTCCAAAGTTACTTATAGTATCTTGAAAATAATGTTTTCTGATGAGCTCCTTAAATATTACAGTTGGAAAGGGCAAAAACAAAAAAAACCCTTTTCAGACTTTAACTAGACCTACCTTTTTCATTACATCATATTATAATTATTATGTCAATATTATATTGCAATATAGCACAGTATTGTTTAAATATAGTATTTTATAAACTGATGCTGAAATTGTTTTGAATTGTTATTATTTAAAGGTGCTGTTAGACAAAAATTTCCAGGCCAAAATGATTGTAGAAATGAAATCATCAATAGTATTATGTCATGGTTAGCACAGGCGCCGACAAGGATTGCAAAGTAAGAACCTAGTCTATTAACGTTAGAAAATCTAAAATATAATAAACATTAAAGAAACAATAATATATGACAACTAGTTGACCCTGTGCACTTGGTTGCCCTTAAAAAATGACAACCCTTTAAAAAATTGTGACTGTTTAAATTTTTTTGGATGTAACTCGCAGCAGTAAGTGCAATTCAGCCACCCTGGTAGGCATTCCAACTATAGTAAAATTATATATATAAAGATATACACATATTATATGTTTCTTAACACATAAATTTTTGATCAATAAGATTTTTATACCTTATATCATGAGTTGATCTTAAAATTCTCTAAATAAATCCTTATTACATAGATTTAATAACTCCTGAATAGTGAGATAATTAATACATTATTTTATAAATAATTTTCATTTCAATATGGAAAATCATACATTATTGCATTAATTGATTTTAAATGAGAAACTACTTTTCTCTGATATTACAAGCATATAATATTATAGAATTGTTTTCATTCTTCTGTTTCTGTATGTTTGCAGCAAAGAAAAACAACAAAAAAGAAAAGAACCTTCAGATTATCATCAACAGCCCAACCCTGATGAAGACAATATTGCAGATGTTTGAGATAACATAATATGTTATATTATAAGTAACTAACATAAGCAACTTTTTACTTTGTATTTTATTATTATATACAACAACTACACTTTTTATTTCTAAAAATCTGTTCTGGTTATACATTATATTAAAACTTCATCAATTTATAAAAAAGGAAGTACCATATTTTAAAAGCAATTTTTATTTTTTATTTTATGACTATACAATAACTAAACTTTTTATTTTTAAACATTTTCACTGTATTTGAAACTTGATACACTACTGTTATGCATTATATTACAATTTCATCAGTTAAAAAAAAATGTAAGTACGTTATTTAATGAGCAATTTTTTATTTTTATTTTATGATTTTATACAATAACTATATTTGTTATTTCTAAAAATGTATATTGTATTAGGGATACACATACAACAATAAAGAAATTGTCATTCAAAAAAATAATTTTTTTTTTTATTATTATTATGACGTTACCTATCCATTTTATATTAAAAAAATATTTAATAGTTGTTTCTTATTAAACTAAAATATTATAGATATATTAAATTGGCATTGAAAAAATATTTAATTGATATGATAAAAATATTTTTATGATATTTTATAACCAAATTACAAGAGAAAAAAAATGTGTAAAAAATGTTTAAAAAATGTTTTTTTAACATAATATTTTTAATGAGAAGTTGGCCATTATAACATTTGTGAAATGTTTTTGAAAGCAATTTAAAACCTTTTTTTAACCTTTTTTAAAACATTAAAAAAATATTTTTTTGTTTCTTGGGGNCCTATCCACCGTGCAAGATTTAAACAACAAGGTATACAAAAAATTGTCAAATTACCAACAATAGTTGATGGAAAAAATTGACCTTGAATTCAAGACCATCGGTTGTGACGTTAAAAGTATCAAACACTCTTATGGTATGTTGAATACAAGTTTCCACGAGATGGAAAACAAATTGATTTCATTAGAAAGTAATAAGTAATTTTTATCTAAAAAACCTGTCATTATCATATATTATGATTTATGATGTTTGTATAAAGGTAACTCGGAGAAGCCGATGCGCAAATATAACGATATTAAGACGAGGATTGCAACCCTAGAAAGTATGATATACATTGTCTATGTCATTTTGATGTATACTGCATGAATCAATTTTATAGTTTTCACTTAACATATTTTTTTATGTGTACGATATGTATGTGTACAGGAGATGTAATGAAAAACACATCACACATCATCGGTATGAACTATTCGCATCGTTCGTTGGAGTGGACTAGACCACAATCAATCGGGTCCGCTGGAATGTTTCCTACCGATAACCGATGTTACGACGAACCAGCTGCATTCGCTGCAGCTCCGTCTTATGATATGCATCCAATGGCGAAACCCGGGCCGAGTGGAGCAGTTTTGCCTCCATCGCCACCTACACCCCCGGCGCAAAGTGCATTAATTGTGCCTCCGCCGCCACCTACACCCCCGTCGACTAGTGTATTTTGTCAACCACTGCCACCCGCAGTCCGCACCCCCGGCGCTGTTGTCTCCGAATTCTCCGAAAAAATCGGATTCAGACAAATCAAGCTCTTCATCGACAGCGAAAGTTGAGAAAATGTATGGGAGGATCCCAATAACCACTGAGATCCTAAAGTCGGTTGTTCTCAAGCCACCTGGCGAGAGGAAGAGAGTAAGCAAATCCGTGACGATATAATCGCTGCAGTATTGTTGAAAATTATGTATGTAATTGTTGTTAAAAAAAATTATATAATTCATAGTAGTTGTCAATCATGGTATCATTGTTAACAAAATAAAAAACGGGTGATTGTGTGTCACTCTACTGTACAGAAGGTTAATATACGCCTACGTCACATGGGTAGCAAATTGCCTATGGCGATAAATTTTTTTTTTAAGACTAGAAGCTAAAATATAAAATCCTCAAATGAATAAGTAGGTTATAAAACTTACTTAGGTAATACGTCGACTCTCCGGGTTAATAAAGCAGGGCCTTATCTATAGCGCAGATGTACCATTTAGTTGTGTTAACATTCCTATGTTAACATCCATTTAATTTGATGTACCCACTCAAAGACAGTATTGTATTTATTGCTATAATGCTATCTGGTTATCCATTCTGCTACTACCTATATTTTTTTATTTTCATCACTATAGTTTCACGATTTTAAAAAAACAATATGTTATGTAGTTTATAATCTGAAGTGAAGTGTATTTTTAAATACTACATTGTACACTCTTACCCAGATCTTCAGTTTCATATGTTTAACTATGTATTTAAATTTTAAATAAATATTTATTTTCACGAAAAATATGCTACCCAAGACGTGTGATGGACGCAGTGGTGTATTGGTAAATATATTTATAGGTATACGCACTAATACAATTTGTATGTACCCTAAAAATATTTTTAATCGCTACGCTCGGAATTACTCACTTCAGTTTTTAAATCTTTTTATTATCAAATATTTCATTTTGGTAAAAGAAACCTTAACTTACAAGTTACAATACGTATTATATATTTAAATTATTATTTGTCATACATAATTATATTACCTATAGGTACATACGGCTATACTGAATAGCGAAGAAAATAATATTATAGATATATTACCTATTAACCTATTAGCTATTACTTATATAGTTATATTATATGTTTTTTTCATTAAAATGTATAACATTATACCTCCCAGACAGCAAAAGAATATTCTTATAATGTTATACCAATGTTATTTACAAAACAGTAACATTTAGTATTAAATATTTAATATTTTTTTTATTTTTTTTAAATATTTTTTTTTTTACATTTACAAAATTATTTGGCCGCTATTTTCATGTTATCCTAACAACATATTATCAATATTATCATAATATTAATAACATAATATTGAGTTAATAATAATTTTAAATATTTGATTAACATTTTAACTCAATAGCATTGTAATATTTTAATTTAAACATTAAAACAATAATAAAAAAATTATTTTTAATTATTCCTTAATTCTTTTAACATTGGTTTTTTAAAATATGTGTGATTATTGTAATTAAATAAACAAATTCAACTAAAATGTTCATTTATTGACCATATTATAAATCATACAAATTTGAAATACCTATATATAATAGTAATATAATATATTTACATGATTTATATATAAATTTAATATAATATTGGAATATCAATATTTT